ATTCTGAGAGCGATTATGGAGTGATTATGAGAGCCTTAATCACCTCATAATCGACCTGTACTCTGACCACCCCATGTCGCAAAGCGATTATGAACACGATTTCTGGTACTGCGATTCTGCTTTTCTCAGCTATCTGCTCAACGTCTGCCTTTGGTTTCGAGCTCTGACACGCCTTTGAACACCCTACATATTCAAAAAGGTCATTATAAATTGACTCCGCATTTTTTCCCACCGAAATCGAGCGATTTTGAGGCGAAATCGCCAATATGGGTATAAATCTTCTGTAGAAAGTCGTTGTTTCGTCACAGTTACCTCATGGGGTACCTATGCAACTATTTTGTCACTCAAATCCGCACGAAATATGTCTTGTATGGGCTATAGACGGGGAGACAAGTGAGACGAAGGGGGTTGACACAGAATCGCAAGAAGCAGAATCGTGATTATGGAGGGCATAAGCTCCTCCGGAGGAGCTTACGCGATTACACGCGATTTTGCCAAAATCGCGATTACGGTGTCGGAATCGTCCTCAAAATCGCATCTCATAATCGTCATATAATCGCTCCGTAATCGCGAACTCTGACCACCCTTAGTATCTGATGTCTTCGTTCAGCGCCCACTTCTCGCTTAGTGGACGGAAGCACATGCTGAACTCGTCCGACCAGGAGATCGTCTTCCGGGCATTTAGCGTTAGGCCGCCAGGGACTGTTAACAACACCTGATGAATGGGATACCCGAGTAGGATCTCGTTCAAAGCTGTAAAGAGCTCGAAGTGGGCAGGTCGACGGCATCCGCTGTGTAGCCACCGAACAGAATGTTGCCAGATGACGAGAGTGACTTCTCTTATTGCTGTTTGTTTCAAATTGCGAAAGAGGTGGAGGGCATGTTGAAGTTGCCAGGTCGCGGCTGGTATCCACCATGTTAAGGAGGTCTGACAATCCTCACTTGGTCGAGGAGGCATCATAGACGACTCTGATACGAAACCTATGAGATATATGACTGGGAGACGCAATGAGACACGAACGAGCACGTTCCCCAATCGCGAATGTACTAATGGTCTCTAGTTGAGCTATCCTAACTAAGAGCTCTGTGGCTCGTTCGTCCACATCTCGAAGTATCTGAATAGGCAAGCATGAGTCAGACGGAGGAACACAGATGATCATGATAATCTTCACATTCAGTGTTCGCAGCTGTGCTCGACAAGATATACCACCTTCCGGAAGAGGATCCTGATGTAGTGAGAGACGCTCGCAGGTGACGTTTTCGACATTCGGAAACGCGGAAAGGAAGTGGAGGAAGGTGCTTTGCAATGGGAAGCTAGCATTCTGGATGAACAGGCTCCGAAGGCTAGTCACACGCTGGTCGCCAGAGGGCAAGGGGGACTGGGAGAGTCGGTCATGGTCCGTAATCACGAAGGAGATCTTGTTGAATGTGATCTGACGGAGACCGGGGAGGATGGAAAGCAGGAGGGATGGAGAGGCCTCGTCCCACGGAAAAGACAGAGATTTCACGACAGGCTGGAGGTGCGGCTGAGCTTGGACAGCATCGTAGAACGCCTTGAGCTGCTTCGCGCTCTGTATGTCGACATTGATGAAGAGCACGAAGAGGCTACGAGGACGGAGCTGACTGCAGGTGAGAGAGAAAGCGCGTAGTGAGGCCCTGTCGCCGAAGCAGTGGTCAATGGTTCTCTCGATGACCTCCCATGGGAGGGCCGGGGACTGGCACGCGGTGGATGAAACCGATTGCGAGGGATGGATGGGGTTTGCGGGATCGCCCAGGGAAGACATGAGTGCTGAGCCGTTAGAGAGCACCTGCCAGGCTTCTAACCGTCAAGGCCAGATTGTCCTTCGAGTTATAACCGCCGTTGTAGGTTACTCCCTGCCAGTGTCGTCAGGAGTAATCTACAACTACCCGTGTTACGGGTGCGATTCATACTCACTGATTTCGAACAGTAGGGCCATACAGCGGACGTCGAGTCCATGTCAGTCGTCCTCGTGAACAATCGGATAACACCCGTGTCACGTGTCACTAGGAAGCGGAACTTCGGGAGAGGCCACCGCCGGACGCCCAATCGAGCGACGTTTTCTCTTGTCTCAACGCCTCGCCGCTGCCTCACCTCGCTCGCTCGTCCCCCGGGTCTCCTAACCCAACCCACACAAGTGCTAGATTCCGCTAGAATTCATCAACAGTGAGCATAGCCCGCCGGCGAAGCTAGACGACTCCAGCGTCCGTGGTATTAGCCGAACAGCGCTAGTAAGTAGTCTCACATCACGCAGTCTCCAAATCCACGGGACTGTGTCAACTGAGAGAGGCGACTCGCTACCAACGCTGTGAGATGCGTAAGATCACTGGACATTCCAAAGTAGAGCGTAATGTTGTGCAGGGCCGGGCCGGGCTCAAAACCCCGGGCTAGGGCCTGTTCCAGGGCATGGCGTGCTCTGGAGGGCTTTGCGAGAAATGGAATACGGATAGCTCGGTACAGGCTGAAAGACGATTGGCCCAGAGTTGTCGCAGTTCCACATTATAGGCCGCATTGAAGACGTCTGTGTTGATACATATTGCGTGTCCTCAGCAAATCTTGTCGGCTGGTATTTCTACTACGCCTATCGCCGCTGACTCATAATCAGCGGAAGCGGCTTCGTTGCAACAACCTATATGCAGGTGGTGGCGTTGCGTAGGAGGAGAAACCCTGTAGTACCGCTCGAGATGCTCGTGATAGAAAAATGCTAAGGTTGGCCCAACGAAGATTCGACACCTCCCGTCACGCCTGTCACACTGTCCGTGTCCCGCCCCTCCACTGCGATTTCGGGGTATCGGCTCGTATAAAATTGAGCTATAGGCTCTGTGGTACCATACATGCCGCCTATCCAAGTTTTTTCCTCAATGCAGAGGGAGGGGAAACACGGCGGGCAAAGCGCCAGGCTCCAAGCAGGGAAATCTGTGCAGCATTTATAGGCAATGCAACCTGGCCCTAGCATTTTCAGTGGGCCTTTGTATCCCTCTTTGTCATTTGGGTAATCTTATGAGTGTTGGAATCCTGGCGTCAAGATGGCGAGCTCGCGGAACGAGCGCCACAGGTCCCGCCCCCCCGACGGATACCCGCGCCCTTATCTACCCCTATTTAGCTACGTATATAAGCCTTATTGTATCTACTGTGTACGGCACGCGTTTGCACCGGCCAAACGCGAATCCCATTTGTGCCCGCTTGCCCTCGAACTTCTTCAATGGGCACGTTGCATCGCCCGTATGTTCAGCGTAGATTTCCTCACCTGGACCATCACGCTTTGCCTGTCGTGAAGCAGCGAGGGACCTCGCAAGCTCACGTGATAATTCACGTGATGGGGTCGAATCTTCGTTGGGCCAACCTTATAGTATAGTACGCTAGCTAACCACCGGCGAGGCAAAACACAGTCACGGTCCGAGTCCTCTGATAATCGAAACACGTACAAAATTCCTTATCATGTGTCCGCAGGGAAAACCTGCATTTACTGGTAATCAAGCCTAAGCACGAACGATATGCCACAGTTGGTTCTCGTTGGTAGTGCTGTAACCTATGCCCTCGCCGCGAAATGTCATGATAGGTGTGCCGTTACTGCTGCGACTTCAATTCAGAAAACAGAACCTCAGCGCCGTCTTAGAAATGAGCGATTACAGAACCGCGCACCCGCCGTCCAGATCCATATAGGCTGCGTCAATTCATAACCGTCAGCCAGGACTCGGAGTAGGAAGGTCACAGAAAAGAACATACTCCCTGTCACCCCGTTTATGATGCTGTGGTTAATGAGTATGGTGATCAGTGAATGCGCGGTGAGTGGGGAAGGGAAAACACAGGCGTACCTGTAGGACGTATTTTTACTACTGCGCTTGATTATCCAGCGCTGGCTCTGGACGCCAGTCTGATGGTAGCCGATGACACGTGTACCGTGACCCCCAGTCTCTGGCGCACTATCTGTAGAAGCACGAAGATTATATAGGGAAGCTCGGGGTTAGCAGAAAATGATGTAACGTACTGCCTTGCAGGTCCAAGTAGGTGCGGCTGTTCGCATTCTGGATCGTATACTCTCTCGTGTTGCCGGCATGAACGATGATCCACAGTTGCGCGGAAACCGAAACGTCGTCGAGCTCGCGCTTGACGTAGCCCTGGACGATGGTACCTAGCAAGAGTAGGAAGCAGGATTAACACATGGACTGCAGCGACATATATCACAAGGCGACAATGGGTACCATCCTTGGAAGATCCTGTGACTCAGAGACAATACGGTCAGTGGGATGAGGAAGGAGGGGAGAGATGACCAACCTACGGCGAGATCGATGACAGTGCCTGTGCGCACGTTCTGGATGAAGTCTCTAGTAGATCGTGAGGGCACTGTCTAGTGTAATGAATAGCAAGAGAAGACTCACAGACGCCGTTCTCGATTGTGGAAGCGGCCATTATTACAAGTGAGGTTGGTAGCAGCGACAACAGTATGCGACGAGAGATGAGAGGCGTTGAAGCCAGTGGCCTTCGATTCTCGTGATAAGCCTAGGGCTTTTTTATGGCCTAAAAACAGCAATTTGTTGCAGAAATCGTTGAGGTTGTTGGACCCCTCACTACCCAACCTCAGCACCCCTAAGCCCTCAACCCTGCAACACTGAAACCGGAGACTGACTGCTGCCCTCGCCTTCATCTAATTGTCCGCTGCTCTCGGCAGCTCTACAAGGAACGTATTCATGAAATAATCCTGTACTATGTGAAGAGCTTCTTCTTGACTTTTGGCTGCTATTGCTCGGCTTCCATCTACGTATGTACTCAGCAATGTGCACGCGTGTGCTCGACGTTCATACAACGGACGATGAGCAGAGTCTCAGCTTCCCCAGATTCTCGCTGTTGAAAATCTGTCGTTTGCAACTTCTACCGTTTCTTGTAGTACGCGCACCACTGATACAACGTCTCGACTTGCGGTTTACCATTCAAGGCAGGCGCAGTAGAATCACTCTACCTTCTCCCTACTCACATGACTGCCTCGGGGTTGGCCTGCCATGAGAACCTCGCCCACCGCGCAGATGCCCGCGGACCAGACAAGCAGCAAGGAACTTATGCAGAAGAAGCTGATCGTCTGCCCAATTTCGAGCCACGAACCCGTATCGGTGACGTTCAGGAAGAATGTGATCGTCATGACTGTCGATGGGATGGCAATGCGGTCAGCCGTTGAAGGGAGAAAGGAGAGGCAACAGCAAGAAGCGAACGCACTATCTGTGAGGGTCAGGGCGACGAGGAAAAGGCTGAACGGGGGGAGATCGAGGCGCGCGTTCAGGATAGAGAAGGTGACAGCTAAGATGATGTATGGCGAAACGATCTTGAACATCTGCAGGACGGACATAGGTGAGTCAGCGACTCAACGCTGCAAAGGAATACATTGCGTACCAGCAGCGCCGCCATGAGGAAGGGGTTGAATATAGGTACCAGGCGGTATACAGGCTCTAGGTAGAATGAGCTATCGAAGCCGTCAGGACTTACGGCATGCTTCTATCGAACGAGTTAGCTCACGATATCGAGGCAACGCTGCAAAGTCATGTCAATCAACACGGTAGAGCATAGCCGAGCCGGACACGCACTTTCCAGTCCCAAAGAACGCGACTTGCACGAAGAACAGGAAGAACACTGCGATGCGCAGATCGTCCGCTTTCGGTCGATACATATTCGCATCGTGCATCTCCGCAGGCTCGTTCTTTCCGGTCGAGGCGCTCCTGATCACATCATGCTCCCGCAATACAGACTCGATCTCGACCCAAAGGCAGAGGGTGAGGGAGTATGAGACGTAGAAGAGCCCCTCGAAGCCGATCGCGAGCCAGATGAAGCAGACCCCGAAACCGAGAAAGAAGCCCAATAGACGCGCGTGCGGGTTGCTTCGGCCCACGCGGAGGATGAAAGGTAGGAGCGCAGTGCTTACTAGAGATGTTCATGAGCGATCGTGACGGGACAAAGGGCAAAAGAGAGTCAAGGAGAATATACGTACGGAACAGCACCCATCCGATGATACGGAAGACGGGTGATACGCCCTTCTTCTCGCGCAGGTCACGCACGATGAAATTGACGAGGATGACGCTCCAGCCGAGTCCGTTCAACTGACATACTTCAATCAAGGCACTGCAAGGGAAACGAAAGTTGTAGGACAAACCAGGAGGAAGGATACAGTCTTGAAGAGCCACGTTTCTGGAGCATTTGGGAACTTGAGGATCCGTATTCCAGCGACCCCAATCAGATACATGGCGATGGCCCCCGCAGTACTACAATCGGCCGTCAGCAGATGAGTACATATTGAAAGCAGGAGATAGTAACTGACATGCCGATCAAGTTCTCCTGCTGATGCACGCTCAGGAGCGGGAAAACGGCAGTACTCAAGCAGCATGCCGACCATCCGAGTAGCAATCGCCAATGCTTCGACCGAGCTGCACTTGGCCATGAGAACAGTGGCCACAGCAGACCTATCGCAGCGAACCAGGCGCTCCAGATAGATCGATGGGTGTAACCCGCCTACGGATGACCGTCAGTCTAGGGAGGCCACCGAATGCCTCGGGCCCGAACGCACCACCATACTCTGCAGGGCGGCCACGACGAGCACTCCTTGGGACAGAGGACCAACGACGGATCCTGGTGAGTCTCGCTTGATGTATTCCAATAGCGGACGGCCTGCGCGGACGAGGACCTGATTCCAGAAGTAGCACGGGAACAGGATGTAGATGTAGAACGTCCAAGGCGACCGCTGTTTAGCGAACAAAGCCCAGAACGCCGCCACGACGGACGTCGCAGCAACGTGGAAGGGGAGACTTCTCGGGGTGCCGAAGGAGGTTTGGGGCAGCAGAATGGACGTAGCGCCGAACGCGATCCAGCCGAGGTATGCGGCGGTGACGATGCCTTGGATCAGCGTCCGGTCGTATCTATGGAACGTACTCAGCCACTGGGAAACGACTAGATCGAACAGCATTCACGTCTGGAGGTATCGCAGGCCTTCGAGTGTCTCGGCTATGAACGCCTTCGCGTGGAGGCGAGCTTGATAGTACTCTCCATACCGAATCAGGTCTTCGATAGAGGTAACGTCACTCTGTCCCGGGAGCTCCTCTGTACCCTTAGAGTACCTGAAGTATGAATATGGGCGGTAGAATATCGAATTCGCCTTCTTTTCGACTGGAACACAGTTAGAGATGTAACGGCAACGGGCCCAAGGTACGACCTACAGTGTTTGACCCGGTAGTGTTCCAGGATGACCTTCGCATTCACAAGCGCCGCCTCAGCCTGCGTCTTCTCGCCATCTTTTGCCAAGAGGTACCCGGGCTTCGTAGGGTCGACGTCCGGCAAAACCCCAACGGAGTTGATGGGCCAATCGACACCGATCAGCGCAGACATGAGCGCAGCGACGTCCGCCTGCTCCACGTCACGGCGCAGCAGGTGCGTCAGGCCGAACGGCGCCGAGTATTCGTCGTGCGACGACGGTGTGCTGTCTGGCAGAGGACCGCGGACGCCCTTGCCCCACAGGATCAGCGGTGTGCGTGTGTTGTCCGGATCTACAGTAGGCAACAAGACATAGGTCAGTCATGTAGGAAAGGACATGGAATGGGACGCGGACCTCACCGCCGTCGCCGTGGTTCCCGATCTTTGACATCCCGTGGTCGGCGGTGAAGACGAACGCGGTCTCTTCGTCCTTGTAGAACTCCCGGAAGAGCTCTTCGGTCTGCTTGACGATCTCGTCTACCACTTGAATGTTCGCCATGTATTCCTTGGAGTGAGGCCGGTACGAATGTCCTGTCGTATCTAGCCCGAGCAGATGAAGGAAGAAGACAGTCTGGTCGGCGCGGAGACGGGCGTCGAGACTCGCGTCGGTCGTGGCGTTGTGCAGTAGGGTACGGAGCTGGTCTAGGACCCAAACATCGAGAGCGGTCGCATCTACGCAGCGGGAGTTAGTTCGCCTTGCAATGGGCATTTGGTTCAGATGTGGGCCGTACCTTTAGTGAAGTCCTCTTCGTCTTCATCGTAACACCACATTTCGACTTTGCCCGGAGTCGCGCCGCGCGCGAACATGGGAAGTATGTCTGGAGAGCCAAAGGAGAAGGTCGTGCTGGATTGGTTGAAGACGGAATCGAAGTCTACCTAAGCCAAGCTCAAGCATACCGGCAAGAGAGCATTGGGGAAGACCTACGGGGTTTGTTTTCCATCCCTGATACAGAGTCAAATTATCGCTCTTGAGGCATCTGAGAATGGATGACATACCTTCGTCACCGCAGAGACGTCCTCGTACATTCCACCTGCGCACGCTCCCTCAACCAGGTGCGCGAAAGCCTACGTATAGAAACATACCGATGAGCGCAACGTGACCCGGCCTACTCTCAGTCGGCACGCGCGTATGTGATATCCCGAACGCCCCCCTCGTTTCGATGATTGACCGCAAGTGCGGCGCGACGTCTTCAGGAGAGTCTGGAACCATAGAGAATCCGTTCTTCGCGAGGAGCAGGTCTGCGCGCAATCCATCGCCTTCCGCGAAACGTCAGTACTGTTTCTCCTAGCATGAAACACGCTGCGGGACATCGCACCTACTATGAGCACCAACCGCTTCGCCTCCGGGCTATCGAGAGAATAATGCTGCATGCCATGGACGACGGGACTTGTGAAGTAGCAGTCGAAGACTGTCCCGATGTAGACCAAGTGGAATACTAGCCCGATGAGCAGGAGGCTCCAGACAGACCGAGACGTCGCCATCATGGAAAGGACCAGATTATGAGAAGTACATGTAGAAGGTATTGTCGGAGTGAGTTTTGGCCACGCTGTCGAGGGCAACGGTCATAGTACGCGTGTGAGCGCGACGGCGTGCGCCTCGCCACGAGCGTCGGGAACAGCACACGCGGTGACCATCTTCATCCGCGACCACCACGACCTGGCGGACATCCACTAGGCTACCCGAATGTGACCCACCCTCTCGTGATTACATTCCAGTAGGGTCTGCTGCCTGTATTTGGTCCCCACCGGCTCCCAAACCCTGTTGGACGTTCACCCGTTCGTACCGCATGACTACGATGTGCTGCAACTGTTCGAGTGAAGATCTACGGACCGGCTCGGACAGACTTACCCTACCCGGCAGAATATCCGACAGGGCATATCGCGACCCGCTGCGACACTGGAGAATGGAATGGTCTGATCTCTCCCTTGTGTTGCATCAAATACGTTCAGCAGACGAGGTCATGCTCGTCCGCGGCCCGCTGGCCTATCTCGTGATGCTGCTCTTGTTTTCAACGTACGTTGTAGTTCGCGACTCTCGGGGCCCTGACGGCAGCGTATAAGATGCACGGAGCAACCTTCTGGACGCCTCATCAGCTATGGCTCTCTGGTCACTCGTGTTCATGGGTACCCTGACTCTTGTCGGAGCATCTGCACCTGCAGGTCCTTGGGACGCGTTCAACTTTGCACCAACAAGCAGGACAATGTTTCCTACCGCGGTGAAAGAGGTCTCCGGATCCGTGCACAACGTCCACAACCTCGTCTCGCGGGGTAGCGCAACGTTGATCGGCAATGGCTCATGGGTCGCGCTTGACTTCGGCATCGAGGTGAGCCATCGTCCTTGTACAACTCGATCGAAAGCTCATGTACACATAGATCGGAGGACTTGTCTCATTGAACTTCGACGATGTGTCAAGCACGTCGTCTATAGCGCTTTCGTTCACCGAGTCGCCTGTCTTCATTAGTCCTGTGACCTCTGATGACTCTACATACCCGTCTGCGAATCAGTCTTACGACGGCGTTCTCCAAGTTCCTTCCCCTCTTCCCACCGGGTTCTGGACCCAGCCGGCCGAGAGATTACGGGGCGGCTATCGTTTCCTGACCATCGTTTCTACGTCGAACGACTCCGTCACAATCTCTAATGTATCCTGTGCTATCTCTTTCGCGCCTCATATCTCGAACCTACGCGACTACAGCGGGTACTTCTATGCCTCTGACCCTGTCTCCCACGACAGGAACTTCTTAACCAAGGTAACTGAGCCTATCGATTTCAGTAGACCCACGGGGACACTGATGCACCGAAAGATATGGTACGCCGGGGCATACACCGTTCAGACTAACACCGTTCCATTGCACACTGGCAGACAGATTCCGATGGTCTCGTCACCGGGTGAGTCCGTACCGGTCATTGTCATTGTCCTTGCCTTACGTTGTGCAGGCTGGGCGAATAATGCTACGCTCGGTGTAGCCGGCCCCATCATCGTCGACGGCGCCAAGCGCGACAGAGCAGTCTGGCCAGGTCAGCCCGTGTCATCACCACCAACTCGGATTTGAACCGCTCACGCACCCCCCTAAATGTGACGTAGGCGACATGGGTATCGCCGTCCCCACCCAGTTCGTCTCTACGAACGATCTGCTCCCCACGCGGAACGCGCTCTCGACCATGTTCGCCGCGATCAATCCTCTTACGGGCGCGCTCCCCGAGTCCGGTCCTCCGCTGAGCCAGCTCGGCAGCGACACCTATCACGCCTGGACGCTCATTGGCACGCACAACTACTACCTGTACTCGGGCGACGACGCGTGGCTGCAAACCGTGTGGGCGAATTACACGAAGGCGGTCGGATTCTTGGAGGGGAAGGTGGGGCCGGAGGGGCTCATGAACGTCACTGGCTTGAGGGACTGGGCGCGGCTGGGCGGCGGGGGGATCAACGCGGAGGGCAATGCGTTGCTGTACCGGGCACGAGCACCTCTCGTTCGCGCTTCTGCTGGATGATTGCTAATCCCGCGGACAGGTCCTTGTCACTGCGGCGGACCTCGCGTCGCACGTGAACAGCACGGAGCTCTCCTCCGCGTGGGCGACGAATGCGACGAAGCTCAAGGAGCGCTTCAACGACGTCTTCTGGCTCCCCAGCGCGGGGCTGTACAGGGACAACGACACCACCACGCTCTGCCCGCAGGACGCGAACTCCATGGCTGTTCTGTACAACCTCACGACATCTCCGGAGCAGGCAGACTCGGTCAGCAAGGGCCTCACGAAGAATTGGAACAACCTCGGGCCGGTCGCACCCGAGCTCCCTGACACGATCAGCCCGTTCATTAGCGGACTTGAGGTGAGCCAACGCTGCATATCCAGATGCTAGGGGATGACGCATGGACGTGACGCGTTGCAGCTGCAAGCGCACTTCGAGTCAGGGAACGACGAGCGCGCGTTGGACCTCCTCCGGCGCGAGTGGGGCTACATGCTCTACACCAACATAAGCGTCCAGTCGACTTTGCTCGAGGGCTTCACCGCAAACGGCTCGCTTTCGTACGTCCATCGCGCTGTCTACTCCCGGGACGGCCTGATGCTTATTGATGCTACGTCAACAGCTACCGCAGCTACCGAGGGTACAACTACGACCCCGCATATACCAGCCACGCACATGGCTGGAGCTCAGGACCCACCTCTGCGCTGACGTATTACGTTCTCGGGCTAACTGTTACCTCGCCGCAAGGCCGCACTTGGCAGATCGCGCCCCATCTCTCTGGACTGTCCGCTGCGCAGGGTGGGTTCACGACCCCGCTTGGATGGTTTGGGGCGAAGTGGTCAGCGGGGAAGCGTAGCTTCACGCTGCACGTGGATGTGCCGGAAGGTACGACTGGGATCGTGAAGGTTCCGGTCGCTGGGAAGGTCACTGTGAATGGGAACTTGGCGCAGTCGAGCAGCGACGGGACGCTGGAGTTGGTTGGGGGAAAACATATCGTCTTCGTGTGGAGTTGAGCGAGATCCGCGCTGTTGCTCGGTTGGATATGTTGTCTTTGCAAATCCAACGAAAGTGTTTGATGTGTCATGGTGGTGTCCGTACTACATACGTACACCGCACGTCTGTTTTGCCCTTTGAGCGTGTCTACCATTTACAGGGCCTGTCTGGTGTCTCAGCCACGTGCCACCCTTGACTGAGGTTCGGCACCTGTAGCTGAGCAGCTCCCCAGCCGCCATCGAGGGACCGGTCGTTCCAAGTCCAAGGTATGTTTTCTTTCACATGCTAGCGTGTCTTTGATCGCTCTTTGGATTATCACCAACGCCAAATCACAAAAGGAGTTGACTTTAAGACATGGCGCAATCATCGAAGGACCGTGCTTGTGGTCCTAGTCCAACCCAAGACGAACCCGAAGTCTCCCGACAACAAGCCAGGATACGTGACCAAGACCTATGGTTTGAGGATGGAAACGTCGTTCGGTGATCAACCTCGCCCGGTTCACAGAGACGCTCGAGCTTCTCCCTGCAGCCTTCTTGCGATGCTGTGCGATTGATATGGAGGACCTATTGAGAGGCTTTCACCGCAAGGATGGCGTTCTCGAGAAATTGTCCCCCGACGATCTAGTGCGCTCGCTCATCGGTCGAGCAGAGCTGCTCAAATCAGACGCCGCTGTTTTCGCACGCTGGGCGGGCTTGCCCGGAGACAGCGGTTGCGAGAATGAGCTTGAACTGACAGGTACGCGTCGAGCGACGGCGTCTACATAATACGACCTTCTGCGTGCGTGATGCACGATGCCGTTTATGCTCATTTCCTTCAGCAACACGGCGACACTCTGGTAAGTATGATATCAAAGATGGCCAGTACCGAGTTCCCGGTCAACGAGGGTCGAGGCTAGATGGCTCCTGTCAGGACTGCTCCAAACCGTCGCAGTTGACGACTCCCACTCTCTCAACAGTGTTAGGGCACTTAAGCACCCCCGTAATCCTTTGAACTACATCACCTAGTCACTTGTACGTCATGCTGTTTCACGTATGTATGATTTGATATGGCTGACAGGAACTAGTAGCGATGTCATCTACAGTATCGAGACCCGACATGGACGCACCAGCCTCCTCGCCACTGCCGGATGCCCCAAGTCCAGCTGAACCTACAACAACCACGAAGTCAACGGAAGATACTGCACAAGATTTGCATCAACGTGACCCGGAATACTGGCTGGAGGACGGTAACTTGACGATCATCGCAGGCAACGTCGAATTTCGCGTCTACAAGGGACCATTGCTAACCAATTCGCCCGTCTTTAAGGACATGCTCTCTATACCTCAACCGGACGGGACATCAGGATCACAGTGCACATGTCGGACCAAGCCTGCTGTCGTACATGTGTCTGACTCGCCAGAAGACCTCAGGCACATATTCCGCGCCCTGCTCCCTGGGAAGACGCCACGGTATGTCCAGCCTTCTCCAACACCTTTTGTAGAGATTGTTGTCATATCTTCTCCCAGCGTGGCTCCAGAGGACTTGACTTTGAACGCAGTATCTGCGTGCGTCAGACTTGGGCACAAGTACGAGATCGACTAGATCCTGCAGCGCTGCCTCGATCACCTGAAGAAGTTCTTTGTTCAGAGCTTCAAAACGTGGGCGCGAGTAGATCCTCCCCGTCCGCCCGCCTTCGAGGCCATCCACTCCATCGGTGTGGTGAATATCGCCCGCATTACAAGTACCGATGTCCTCCTTCCCACCGCTCTGATGGGCTGCTGCATGCTCAACTCGACCGAGCTCGTGAACGACTTCACGCGCGAGAACGGAACCCTGGAGAAGCTCTCCCCAGAGGACATCGGACGGTGTTTCCTGGTGCGGGCGAACCTTATGCAGGCAAACATCATGGCTACCCTTGGCGTATTCGAACAGACGCTTTTCGAGGGCTGCACGCGGCGAGACGTCTGCGGGCCGGTGTTCCTGAAGCTACTTGACGAGTTGAGGAATCATGAGCGGGTGGTGTGCACACTGGACTGGTTCAAGTACTGGTCGGACTACATCGACGGGAGAGACGACGACCGGAAGATATGCGCACGATGTTATAAGATGCTACAGGAGAGGGAGAAGGAGCAGCATCGCGGAATATGGAAGAAGCTGCCAGAGCTGATGGGCGTCGTTGTGGAGGGGTGGGCTGCTGACCCCACGCCCGCGGTGGACGGCGGAGCTTGAGTGAGTCTGGCCTCAGTCCTAGACTCATCAGATGTCCACGGGCATGTTCATGGTGACAGCTGGTGCGAGCGCGTTTGAGGGTCTGTGCTGCTTCTTCTATCTTGGCCTAGCCTTGATTGGAATGTTTGTACAGGTAACTAGGTTCTTGGATCCTTTTTCCACTCTGCGGAAGACAGAAGCCTACCGAACGTCTCAATGCGCTTTCGACTAGCGGAAAAGGCTATTCTCTGGAGATTCATGACTAACCAATCACTACGATATCAGAGAAGGGCTATATTGACGTCGAAAGACCCCTCGCAGCACTCTGATAATGTTAGTGACACCGCAAGAGGCGTCGACGTCTCAACGATTGGGTATTGTCATGTAGAGAAGATGCAATATTACGCAGTGGTGCTCCGGCTTCTCCTTGTCCTTCCATTCACTACATTGCTCTCCGAACGCACCCTTTGACGTCAAAAGGCCGTCTCGTACGTTCTTGTCAGGGCCTGCGACGCTTTCCTAGCCGCTGCGATCGTTTCGCCGGTACCTGTCTCCGTCTGACTCTAAGGTTGTGTTCGGCTATGCTCCCGTGCTGCTAGCCGAATTACGTCTGCGAAACGGAGATGCTGCATCCACGGACGACTTAGCCTTCCATGTCAGCGGCTGAGATGACGGTCCACCGTGCATGGCTCCCTCCGGAAGGCAGCCCTTGACGTGTGGGGACATCTGACTAGCAAGTCACCTCGTGGAACCGTCTGGAGCGGCGATACCAAGTGCAGGCCTGCCAGGCCAGTGCCATCTATAGACCACTGACACTTCTGGGGTATCTCAATGTGAAGAACGGATGTGGGATAGCAGTGCTGGAGTAGAAATCTCTATTGTATCTAACAGTGTATTCTCTGACGCATTTTTCGTAGGGTTGAGGTTTCACAGTCCTATAAAGGCCCTGCGAGAGAAATCCGGAACCTCAGGCCCCAACACCTCTCATCGTATCTTATCGACGATGAGGGCGAATGTCAGTTGTAAGGCAGAGACCGAGAGAAGGATGCTGACGTACACGTAGGCGGTGTTGGTGCTGTTGCGCTTGATGATCCAGCGCTGGTTCGGGTTGCCCGTGGGCTCGAAACCGATGAGGGGCGTTCCGTTCTGGATGTTGCCTGCAATGGAGTGCACAATTCCGTCAAATGCGGCAAAGTAACCGCTCAGTAGCCAGTGACGTACTCCCAGTCAAGTCGAGGTAGGTGCGGCTGTTCGCGTTCTGGATCGTGTACTCGTCGGTGCCCGGGACTTGCGCGATGATCCACAGTTGCGCGGATACCCAGACGTCGTTGAGCTCGTGCTTGGTGAAGCCCTGGACCTTGGTACCTGACAAATATGCGATAGTGTTAGCGAGCGAGACTGGCGGCGGAGTACCCGATAACGGTATGTACCGTTGGCATTGGATCCTGTTGGTGAGAGAGCACATGGTCAGCGGCAAAGTAGAGGTGTAGAGCGGGATGGTTGCCGTACCAAGAGTGAGGTCCAGAACAGTACCAGTGCCGGCGTTCTGGATGAAATCTGCAGCAGCATGTCAGCGTATTGCCAGCCGCAACGAACGCCAACTCTGAGAAAGAACTGACAGACACCAGTCTCGATGGTCAGAGCAGCCATTTTCAGCGATTGAGGTTTAGTAGAGGTAAGAGCGCATCGGGAACGGCGCGACTGGCAGTACGTCCTTCACTATTTCCATGCATAATGGTGACTGACGTATCAACATCGTCGCAGCGTATGTTGATTTGCTCAACGGGTACGCATCGTCTTCTGGTTTCGATGATTTGCTATGATACTAATGTTGACAATGTCGAATACAGAGGCAGCGCCAACGGTACCGCCGTCAACGGCTGGGCTGGTGAGGGACCGGCTACCACCAACCCGCACCAGCTCTGGCACATTGTCCGGGCTTGAGCTCGAGGGCTCTAACCCATATCACTAGTACGCGACGGGGCCCTTACCTTGTCGTACTACTCCTTTCTGTCGTCTTGCTCCTGGAATGTCGAAGAAAATGCCGTCGAAAACGTAGGAAGAGAGCGAATCCGAGTCGTGTACTAAGAATGTCGAGATGTTGCGTATTAGGCGAATGAAAGACCTTGTTGTTTCCATATTGTCTCACTTGAGAGTCGTCCCAGCTTTGCGCGAAGAGCCTCCCTGGGCCAATGCGGCAACTAGTACTGGTCGTAACCCGCGCTGGCCACACCAAGACGATGCCACGACTCGGACTCAAATTAAAGTGTGCGCGAATCTCGGATTTTGCCGCCCCATTGTAGCGCCCATGCAGGGTGACGCAGTCTGCCGGATCTACGTAGTTCCCACGGGCAGCTTAGCCTCGTGGCCAGGTACCCAGGTGAACACTACCAAACATCCTCTCCGGTCTTTCTTCGCTCTGGGTTCTCACAATCCTGAACAGGCCCATGGCTGGACCACCGCGGAAGCGCACCCGCCTGGTTGCTTTAAGCGACTTGGAAGACCTGCCGACCTGCAGTGACAAGCCTGGAAGGGCGGGGAGACGTGACGAGGAGTTTGGTTTGAAGACGGAAACATCATGTTCGTCGCGGAGGACACTGAATTCCGCGTGTACAAGGTCCCGCTTTCCAAACACTCCGCGGTGTTCAAAGACATGTTTTCGCTTCCCCAGCCTGCTGCGGCCTCTGCCGATGAGCCGCCGGTGGTTTACCTCACCGAGCGACCCAAATGTTTCCGGTATCTACTCAGGCAGCTGATATCTGTAAGTTCTCTACAGTGAGTCTTTGAAGACACTGGTTTACAGCCGTACTAAATCACCAGCTTGAGCAGCTTGTCCGGCAGGTTGCCGACTATCTCGCGTCGCAATATCCTACCACATACGAGGCGTATGCTGCAATTACCGTGGAGGATCATATAACGGGATCTGATCCGTCGATACACCACATCGCTGTCGTGAACCGAGCGACACTGAGCGACACGCCGTCTCTCCTCCCGTCGGCGCTGTTCGCTTGCTGCAGTATTCCCCCCAACCGCCTAGTGCAAGAGCAGCTGTCCCTGGACGATCTTACTCGCGTACTCGTGGGTCGCGCGGAGCTAACCAAGCTCGATGCGGAGGCCGCTGTCGCTATCTTCCAGCCTTCGTCGTCGCCCGACTGCCGCAAAGGCCGGTCGCCGAGCTGCGGGGAGCTGTTTCTTACGGCAGTGACCCTTCTCGGAAGCAAAATCGGTCTGAAATTGTTTGGGCCGAGTTGGGAGCTGTCATGGGTGGACTATGCGAACGATCGGGGACTCTTTTTTTGTCCGGCGTGCGAGAAGATGATCGCGAGGAGGGAGGATGAGAAGCGAAAAGAGATATGGAAGCGTCTTCCGTCCATCCTTGGTCTCGAGGCAGATGGATGATTGTAACAGCCCACCGGGTCTCGTGTTCTGTTATGTCGTTCCTGTCGGTCCAGGTCGAACAACGAACTCACGCTTCGTTTCAAATTGCGTTGTAGGCACTCGCTGTGGAAATATCACTCGCTGATCTGCCCATTCCCTGCCAGAGCATACCTCAGCCTATGGGAGATCGCCACGTCCGGGAGGTCATCCCCCTCTTCACAAGGGCGACAAGCACTGTATATTAGCTACGTTGATACTTCTACAGTATATGCACCTGCGACTGACAGGAGGAATGCTTCGATGCTACATGTGACGGGAATCTGTTGCTCAGGGTACCAGGTAGGGTGACCACAGTACTGCGTTGTCTGCTGATCAATACCGGTAACATTCTAGGATGCTGTGCGCGTTCGGTCGTACCAAGGGAGGAACGTTTCCCAAAAGCGGCAGGAACCACGTGTAGACTGCTTCTGTTCGGACCTGTCGTCTCGAATGCTATTCGCCCGTCTTTTCGACCAATACCACCATCATCGCGGCGACCCTACCAATCGGTCTTCCGTACGTGTCTGCGAATCTATTGTATGCTCAAATTATTCTACTCCAATCCACTCGAATGCCCTGACCATCTCACAGTCGTTGGTCGGCCATGACTGAGCCGCCGAGAAAGCGCGTTCGCGGCGGCGTCGCAGTGCCTAGCCAAGCAGCCGTTCACTCAAGCCACAGCCCCTCTAACAGCACGATGAGGACGCGGGACAACCACTTATGGTTCGACGACGGCAACCTCATCCTCGTAGCCGGGAATGTCGAGTTCTGCATCTACATGGGACCGCTCATAAACTCTTCGCCCGTTTTCCGCGACATGCTATCCCTTCCCCAGCCCACCTCCGACGGCGAATCGTATGCTTGCCCTGTGGTCCAAGTTCCTGACCATCCGAACGACATCAGGTGCATCTTGCAGAGCTTGATCTTCGGGAATGATCTGAGGTGAGTTCGTACTTCCTGTATGTAAGTATATGCGCATACATCCATCCGAAAGTGGGGAGCGAGCACGTCTTGGCTCAATGTATTCGTATGTTTTGCCTAGGATGATCATTATGCGCCTATATGCAGGCCTGGGTGACCAATGCCTTCGCTTCGAGCTTGTGTGGATATGGACCGTATCTCACCCGGATTTAATACTTGAAATGCCACAACTCATGGTCCACATCTTCAGGTTCGTAGCGGAGCATCCGAGCTTCGACACGATCTCGTCAATTGCACGAATGGGCCACGAATACCAGATCTACAACGCGGTGAAGTACGCCCTTACTTACCTGCGCTGCTACTACCCTTCCGACTATGCGGGGTGGAAGCAAAACAAAAGGGGCGCACCCAACTTCCGACCGGCGCACAGTATTGGCGTCATGAACCTTGCTCGGCTGACGCAGACATCTGACATCATGCCGGCGGCTTTCTGGATATGCTGCAACCTGGACATCGACCATCTCCAGGCAGGCTTCAAGAGGAACGATGGCACCGTCGAGACGCTCTCTCGGACTGACCTTGTGAACGTCCTCATCGCTAGGCAAGAACTCGCCGAATTAGCCGCGTTCAGCTACCTCTATGTCCTCGAGGCTATCGCAGATGGCGGCTCGTGCTCGTGCGACTCGGACGACGAGTCGGATGACTGCCAGAGTTCTATCTCTGGCGTGCTGGGACAGCTGACGACATCAGATACAACGCGTTACAACGGACCGGGTCTGACAGGGTGCTGGGTCAGTTTCTTGAACGACGATTGTGGTGTGCGTCTTTGCGACGCGCTCGGGGAGACTATAAGGCCCCGTTTGGCAAGCGGGATGGGAGTGGGAGTGGGCTGGGATTGCCCGCCAAATCCTTCGTAGCCGCCCACAACCCCACTCCCGTCAATGGGCGGCTAC